TAAGCTAAAACTTATGAAACGTTTACAGAATTTGCAGAGGTGAGAATTGGTCTTATGCAGTGAGCGGGAAGAAAGCTGAAGATGCACCGACTGAGAGGGAGAGTAACCGGTTGATGTCGGTTGCTCAAAGGAGATGACTGGATGGGCAGTGAGAATCTTGGGACACATGTCAAATGAGGAACAGCCACGTACTACTGTTGTGCTTGCATGGTGTAACTTCAACTTTTCCTCAGTCTCACCCTGCCTTTATATATCCCACTTTAACTTTTTTAGTTAATTGCTATCTCAGGACTGGCCTTGCACTTTGCTTCGACAGTTTGACCAGTCTTCTTTTATGTTTTCTTTTGTGTAAACTATTTTTAGTTACTCCAAAAGTCTCCAACAGAAATAAAAAGAAAGACCCAATAAAGGAAAAGTGTGGTCTGTACTGATATTATAGTATTTTTACCGTCTCATAATCAGAGAGAAAATACAAAATAGATAAAATGTTGGAAAATTGATAAAGAAAATAAAAAAAAACCTTGCCCCAAACTGCTGTTTTTGTCTAAGAATACATGACCAGATACAAATAGATAATAATTCAATCATATCCGTTGCCTACAACAAAATCTCTAATAGTGTGAACCAAAATGTTGCCTATCTTAACTCAGTGCCACTTAAAACTTAGATCTCATCTGAAGCAACACACACAGAGGGCAAGCATGCCTTAACATGCGAGATGGAAGAACATGTATATACAGCTCTCAAGCCACCAAAAAAACTTGTGGGATCGTTAACTTTGTTGCTCACTATTATTGGGCCGACGATATGGCATGAATCTGTGATCCTTAGCAGCATTCTTCCTTCTCCTCTTCTCAATGAAAGATTCAAGTTTGCCGGATGCCTGATAATATCATCCATTTTGTCATTAATTGAGAGTTATTCAATGTCATAAGGAAATTTTTTGAATTACATGATAGGTCAAATACGCACCTTGAGTTTTTTATATTTCTCAATAAGCCTTTGCTTCCGAATTTCAGCTGCAAAAGAAATGAACCAAGTTAGCATCAATTACAATGAACCAATATGAACATTGGCAGCTACACTTAAATACAAAATCGACATAATAACAGTTGTAGTGTCTGCTCAAAAGTCAATGGATCCCAACATAAGCGAGTTTCAGTCTTTGTAAGAAAAAATACTTCTCCAGTTGCTTGTTAAGGTCCTTGTCAGATTCCAGAGGCATTAAACATGATGACACAAAATAGAAGAAAGCTAGAGCAAGTGAGTCAGAGAGATTAATGACATTACATTTCTTAAGATAGAAGGGGCGTTTCCCGAGCTTTGCTGCTTCTCTTTCTTTCTTCTTATGCTCAGCCAGAATCTTTGCATCAGTATGCTTTGCTGACTCAAACTTTATTTGCTTGTCCTGATATGTGATCAGATGTCAAAAAGTTGATAGGAAGGTGCTTCAATATATGCCCAATAGCAGATAATGGTTTAAAACAAAATGCAGAGTATACTATTTTCTTTTTAATAGAAAACAAACTTACGATCCAAGAAATATGGTTCTTCAGTTCACCAATGACTTTTGGGTCTTTGGCCTTTTTAAGTCTTTTCTGCACCTCCTGTCATAACCATGAAATAAATTGATGAAAAATGACTAAGTACAAACCCAAAAAGGAAAAAACGTCAATATTCAATGATTAGAGAATGGTACCTCTCTTTCAGCCGGTAGGTTGTTCTCAAACAGAAAATTATATCTGTTTCTGAACCTACAAAACAAAGAGTAATTGCCAGCAACAGGTTATAGAAATCTCGATTACTAAAGCAATAACCTAAAACAGACATAATCCCCAAAAGCAAGAAGTCAAGACCATCAACTTTGACAAGACCCGACCCACGGAATGTTATCTCCATCAAGAGGTTGACAAATAGCATGCAGTCTCATCATTTTAGAAGTATGAAGAAAATACGTGGCCTCAGATGAGACAAATTGTGGCATGGCAAACTAGGCTACTCACGATGATATTATGGCATGTTGATAACTAACATGAAGAAATTTATCAAAGTAAAGCTCCATTGACTTGTAAAAGATAACCAGATTCCTCTTGCTGGCTTTCTCAAGATTTTCTTGCATTCTTCAATAAATCAAATTTCAACAGCATCCACCTTTCTTTTTCCCTTTCTGATAGATGAAATTGAAAACATTTGCACAAATAAATGAAACTCAACTAACCAATCAGAACGTTGTCTTTAAACAAAACAGTCAGAACTACCAATACATGAAAACTTGCCATCCAACTTATTTGTTCATGGATACATTAGACTTCAACTAAATTATTAGATAGAAGACGAGACTCACCCCTCGACATCAAGTTTACCACATAAAGACTCAAAACGAGGGTCACGTACCACCTGAACATAAAGAAGCACACGGATTTAATTTCTTTTTCATTACATTAGTAATTGAAACAAAACTAGCAAGTGTTGC